ACAGGTATCAGTACTGGTGTCACAACTGAAAAAAAAAAGTAGTAATTGAAGATATGACTGTTAAATTTTGCTGATGAGAAAGACAAAGGAAAATTGTGAACAAGGTACTAGAAGGCTACAAAAAAAAAATATAGGTTACATGAATCAGAATCCCTGTAGTGCAGAAAGAGGCCGTATGGCCCATCGAGTGTGCACGAACCTTCTGAAGAACATCCCACCCAGACTGACCCCATGCCTCCATCCCCCCCAACATGGTGTTTTTAACCATTGTTAACTCACCCAAATAGCACACCCCTGGACATTAAGAAGCAAGTTTTAGCATGGCAATCCACCTAACACACACATCTTTGGATTGCGGGAGGAAACTGGACCACCTGGAGGAAACCCACACAGACACAGGGAGAATGTCTGTGTGTGGAGTTTGCACAGTCACAAGTGGATGTAATCAAACCCAGGTCCCTGACACTAAGGCAGCAGTGCTAAACACTGTGCCATCAAGCCACCCATAATAAACAGGCAAAAATCTGGTAAAAGGAATATAATGTGGGAAGTTACATAATTGCCCATTTTCATAAAATCATAGAATCCTTACAGCATGGAAGCAGGCCATTCAGCCCATCAGGTCCACACTGACACTTCAGAGTATCTATCCCACCCAGACCCAGGCCCAGGCCCCAACCCTATCCCCATAACCCATCCACCTAGCCTGCACATCCATGGACACCGTGGGGCACTTTAGCATGGTCAATCCACGTAACCTGTCCATCTTTGGACTGTGGGAGAAAGCCCATGGAGACACGGGGAGAATGACATGCACAGACAGACAGTCACTCAAGGCTGGAATAGAACTCAGGTCCCTCCTGTGAGACAGCAGTGCTAACCACTGCACCAGCATGCTGCCCCAAAGTGGAAGAATTTGGCAGGAAGAACTAAAGAAGCAACTTAAAATGGAAAGAGTGATCCAGGTGTCATGGTGTATGAATCACAAAATATTAGCACGTGGGCACAGCAAGTAATTAGTAACGTTAATAGAATGTTACCATTTATTGAGGGAAATGGAATACAAAAAGTAGCAATGTTATGCTTCAGTTCTACAGGGCATTGGTGAGATCATATCTGGAATAGTGTACAGTAATGATTTCCTTATTTAAAAAGGATGTAAGTGTGTTGGAAGCAGTTCAGATTTACTAGGAAAATACTTGAAATAAGTTTTTTTTGAGGAAAGGTTGGATAGACTAGGCTTACACTCATTAGAGTTTAGAAAAGTAAAACACACGATCCTGAAGGATCGCAACAGGGTGGAATGGAAAAAGATCTTTCCTCTTATGAAAAAACCAAGGGTCTTTACTTCCAAAGAAGGGGGGCACCCACTTTAAAGACAAAGACAAAGAGGAGAAGAACTCTTCTCAGGGTGGAGACGGCTTTTTGGAATACTGTCAAACAGATCATGGAAGCAGAGTCCTTGAATATTTTAATGGCAGAGATGAAAAGATTCTTGATGAGCAATGAGGTGAAAAAGGTTTAGGTAGGCAGGAAGCCGGAGTAATCAGATCACACATAATCTTATTAAATAGCAGAGTAGGCCTGAGGCGCTGAGTGGCTCACTCTTGTTCATAACTTGTACATTTGTACGTAGCCACAGGTCTTCAAGGTATGAAGGCTATCAACAGATAAATTTAAACCTTTGCCTGCTTTTAGTTCACTTTATGGATCTGCAGCACATCCACACAAGCAATACCTTACCATCCATGGAGGACAGCGGAGAAGATTTAAATCACATGACTATCAGCTGGCACCAGTCGAAGGGTGGGTGAAGTGGGAATTGAGGGAAGGAGGTCAGGAGGACCAAGGAGAAGAACATGTGAACACAGCAGGAAATGAGGAACTTAAGTTATGAAAATAGATTTAAGAGATTGGGTCATTCCCCTTAGAGGAGGAGGAGGATAAACAGCTCTGATATGATTTTGCAAAATCATAAGTCAGCTGGATAGAGTAGACATGAAGAAATTGTTCCCATTCAAGAGGAACAAGAACAGAATACAGATTTAAAATAATGAGCAAAAGCAGCAAGAGTGAAGCCAAAGATAACGAAGAGTGGAGCTGGAGAAACGCGGCAGGCCAGGCAGCAGAGGAACAGGAAACATTAGCTTTCCTGTTCCTCTGATGCTGCCCGGCCTGCTGTGTTTCTCCCAGCTCCACACTTTGTTTTCTCTGACTCCAGTATCTACAGTTCTTGCTATCTCTATAAAAGAGTGAAGGCATGACTTTTTCCAGAATTGTTAGGCCATGGAATACACTGCTTGGAAGTGTGGTGGAGACAGTTTCTTTTGAGGCATTCAAAAAGGCATTGAACATTATCTGAATTATATATTGCGCAAGGGTATTGGGGGCGGTGGGGAAGAGAAAGAAAGCAAGAGATTGTCATTCGGTAATAATGCTCATTTAACAAGCCAGGGCAGGCACATTGGCCGCCTCCTGTGCTGTAACACAAATGTGATTTTGATCACGCATCAACCAGCTCCAGATGCCTCAGAGTCACATGTCAGAGACAGTTTAAAAAGCTTTCTAGGAAGGCAGTCACAGGCTTGTACAGATTCCTACAATAAGACCTTGAACCATCATGGCTTTGGACAGAGACCCATGCCAGTTGCTCTCAAATGTAGTGGCAACATTAAATTTCTACATCAGCAGCAAACTTCAGGGTTCAATAGGAGAAATGCACTGCAAACTCAAGGCTACGATGCACAGGCATGTAAAGGAGGAGACCAACACCTTGTTTAAAAAAGGCCTACCTGATGAATCAGATACTCAGCAGATGCTGATAGCAGGCCAGTAGAACAGTTGGCTTCAGAGCTATCAGATGGTTTGTTTAGGTACAGTGTGTCATCAACTGTACAGGTGGCTATTAGGGTTCCCTAGGAACAGCAGCTGCATTTGCGAATTGAAAGGAATTTCACTCAGACAACACCAGTAAAGAATAACAGATGTGTGCTATTTCTAAGGAAGTCATGACACATACATTTGGAGGAACTCCCAGGGGCCACAGTTATTTGGAAACCTTTACCAGAGTGCAGGGTTGGATCTGGGGAGAAAAGGTCTATCCCCTCAGGGCATGGTTCATGACACCATTGTGCTGTCTCCAAAGCTCTAAATAAAGGAGCGTTAGAACATAGCATTACCAGGGAAATTAGAGAGCAGACCAGTGGATTATTGAAAATTCAAATTTTCAATACCATGACCAGTTGAGTTGACTTTACGACATGCTCCACAGGGCATCCTCTGGGATTGTCGTTATCTACTGTGCTTTACAGGAAACAATGTGACATTGCAGTAAGAAGAATGATTACCTATTGGGGATATAGAAGTGCAGCTAGCATCCTTAGGTGAGGATGATAGTGCACTCAGGCCAGGGGATTGGGGGGCGGCAGTAGAGCAACCAGGGATGGTTCAAGGCTTCACAGAAAGGTTCCAGAACTGTCACGGCCAACACCATCTTCAACCATTTCATTTACACCTTCCTGAAAATTTCATGTGTTGGGATGAAAGTCACTTGCATATCATTCCACTTAAACAATGAAGATGAAAATACCAACATTGGGCTTTCCTACCTAAAAACTCAATCCTGGTGGAGGCACAGAAACTACAGGGCTTGGGTACATCACATCATTCCCCCCTAATTCAATACCTATCAACCATCTCCAAAAGCAGAAGATTTCACCCCTCAAAGTAGAACAGTACCTTTATCATGAGGTTTGATGCCTCACTATTAGTTTGGGTTCCCTACAGAGTGGTCAAGGACTGTCTTCAGGCTTAGATTAAAAAAATAACATTATTATACATTAATACAAAATGCTGCTATTCCACTGGTATACCAGACTGACTCATATGCATTGGGCAAGGACTAATTCATTTTCTTAAGTTCATACCCATATTATTATCTGATGCAGATTTGGAGAACTTCGCGCAGTGCTTCGCAAAGCGGGAGTCAGGATGCCGGGGAGAATCACAAATTGAAACGTTGCGGTGCTAAACTGCGACCGATTTATAATAATGACTAACAGGCCTCTACTCCAGCCCCACAGCTTTCCATTAGGGATTCATGACATCTACCAAACGTCGATAAGGGTCATAAGTGGGGGATAAGGTCTGGGAAGCACAGGTCTTTACAGTACTCTAATTCCACCACTCAATTTATTCTCAGTGCAGTGCAAATCCGTGACAATGTCACAAGTTTCCCCCACCATCCCAATGCCTCTTTCTAACAGCACCCACTTGCTGTGCTGCCATCACAAGTCACACACTTAGAATTTAATTCCATCACAGGCAAGGTGATCCGGTTTAGGAAATAACATGCTTCATCATTTAACATCACAGTAATCTGAAGGTAAAACAACATTAAAACTAAAAAGCTACCTCAAACCTCCCAGTTCAGAGGACTGGGCGCTGGCTCGCTGCTGTACAACGCGAAGGGAGTAAAAATAACCTTTAAAAAACCCACAGTGCCCCCACTGTTTCTAACAGCACCGATTAATCTAAAAAGGGAGCTGCTGGATTCAACTATTGAAAATCGGGGGAAAAGTCTGATCGGTTTAGTTTCCGTGGGCACTAAAGAGAGTTTGAAATGAAGGCTCCTCATAGTTTTACAAAGGGCTTATGCACACCTTAAACAGGGAACCGGTTATACTACTTCACGTTAAAAATAAACGTGGAAACAACTCGAATGTACAAGGAGAAAAGCTAACAACCGCTGCAAACACCATTTTAAAAATAAACTGCCACCAGCTACAAATGCGACATGGAAAGCCCTTCCCAGAACAGCGCTGACCTTCAGCAGACCAGCGCCGCTTGTTGTTATCTGTAAGAGCGAGAAGCGGCTCCCAGAAAATACAGCAGCAGAGCTGCTTGAAGGCAGGACTGGGGCCGGTGACCCAGCAAAACAATCCTTCATCCCAACCCACGCTGCCTCAGTCATCCCCTCTCCTTTCAACCCCCTTTCTTACCGCAGAAGCCCATTGCAGACAGCAAATGCTGCCCACAGCAACAGCCACAATTCCGCTCCCAACTTCATAGTAGCAGCTAAAAGATCCGCACAGCTCCTGTTTATGTCGACACGGATAAAAATCATCCGTTCACTCCACCCCCAGCACGCCCCGCCTTGAAGCTGCATAACAACCTATTAAAACAATTACAAACTGTCCTCCTGCCGGATCCTTTCCCTCAGCGAGTTTCTCATTCATTTACAGGCTTGTCAGCATGAACAGGCTTCCGGAAAATTACGAAATCATATTGCTTTCATATCCAGAACACCGGCTTGACCGTCATGCACTCAGTGGCTACCTATCAGAGCAACTCGTTTTCAACAGGTTTTTTTTGATTCACACTTTCCACAGTTGTTGCATTTTGCTTTGCAATTATAGTTCTGTGTCAGACTCCATCCTGTCGCAGAGCCATTTTCCTTAGAGGCAAGATGGGTGTTGGAAGGGCTGCCCATCCACAAATAACAACTGAGGTTGGGAAATGGCCTCAAGGAGGTCAACTGTCAGAGTCTGAATGGAGTTTAAGCCCAAAAAGTGGCTTCTCAGGGGTGGGTAGGGGAGTAATGAGGAATTGGGGAATGGGGTGAGGTAGTGGCTGCATTTCAGGGAAGCTATAAGGACCTCACCCCATTCCCCATTCTGACAACTTGGTAGTCATGTCCTCAGAGGCCCAGGAAGACACTTCTCGGACAGCCAGGCCTTTGTGCATACAGGTTAGCTGAATCTGTAAGAGAGAGGAGGTGTCATAGCCAATGGTTAGAAGTGGTGTGCAATGATTAAGAGTGACAGTGAGGTTAACATGAGAGTTGCAGTGGAATGCAGAGTGGTACTTTGGTTAGTGCTAAGGCATTCAGAGTGAAGTGGCACTGAAATGGTAGAACATATGCATACAAAGTTAATGGTGTGGAAGATTTGTACGATAGGGGCACGGTAGCAAGAGCAAGTAAGAAAAGGTATTGCATGTAATAGAATGACAGAGCATGAGCTTTTAAAAATGGTGCTGGCACAAAGGTTGCCAATGTTACAATGACTTTTGCAGAGTATTGAGTTGTTCTGGGAAAGGCAGAAAAGTGGGGCAGCACGGTGGTTGGCACTGCTGCCTCACAGTGCCAGGGACCCGGGTTCAATTCCAGCCTCGGGCGACTGTCTGTGTGGAGTCTGCACATTCTCCCTGTGTCTGCGTGGGTTTCCTCTGGGTGCTCCAGTTTCCTCCCACAGTCCAAAGATGTGCAGGTTAGGTGGATTGGCCATGGTAAATTACCTGTAGTGTTCAGGGAGGTGGAGATTAGGGGGATGGGTCTGGGTGGGGATGCTCTGAGGTTCAGTATAGACTTGTTGGGCTGAAGGGCTTGTTTCCACACTGTAGGGATTCTATGAATCTGACATGAGAGAGACCATGGGCCATGGTAGCAATGAATGAGACATGTTTGGTAAGGTAGGACAAAAAAATCCCACTGTAAAAAAATACACAATTTGGACATAGCAAACAAAAGGTAAGATTCAGCCCAGTGAGTGGTAACAACTGTTCTGTTAGATTCATCAATGCCAGTTACCCATGTCCAGCCCTTGTGTAACAAAATATAACATAAGCATTGCCATACCAGGTACAAATATCCTGCAAAGCACTCATGGCGTTTACCAGGGTGTAGAATTCAGACCGCACCAACAGGACTACAAAGTTTACTCTTGAGGCTTCAGTGTTATGGTTTGACTCCTTGGAAACTTGGAGAAATGGTGCTACAATTTTAGTTGGCGTCATAGAAGAAAGACAGAATAGAAGATCCAGGTATAAATATCTATCAGCTAGTAAATGTAACATCTTCAAAACTTAGTCAAAATAGAAATGGGACCAGCTATAGAGGTTCCCACAGAAAGTGATCCAGGGAAGGCCTAGCATACAATAAACATAGTCAACAATACGGCAATACTGGACTGCCAGAGGTCAACAGTGTTGTGCGAACTGGATCTGGAATAATCATACCCAAAACAAGAAGCACCTCTCCAGGAGGTACATGAAGGCAACATAGGAGTCAGGAAGTGTAAACTCAGAGCCAGTTCAGCTGTGCATGAATAGGCATACACATTGAAGACATGGCGTCTATATGCAGTGTATAGCAGGAGTACAAAAACAAACAGTAGTTAGAGGAGATGGTAACCATAGAAGTGCCACCTGGAACATGGCAAACTGTGGGAGTTGGTCTACTAACAATCAAGAATGGTGTCTCATAACAACCAACTACTACTTGAAATTCCACTTTACTCCAATGATGAAAAACTTTAGAGCCACAACAATCATCTCAGCAGTATGAGATCTGTTTGGTCAGCAAGGAATTCTGGGAAGATTAATATATGGCAATGACACCCGGGTCACAAACTTGGAATTTAAGGAATTCTCTGAACATCATCTCCTCATCAACACATTACCCTGAGGGGCACAGGTTTATGTAAAGCCATGTCTAGATGGTCAAAGGAACCTTTGAGAAATGTCAAAAAACAATGGAAGACCCAAACTTTCCTTTGGAGATAGTAAGAACTGCAGATACTGGAGTCAGAGTCAACACAGTGTGGAGCTAGAGGAACACAGCAGATCAGGCAGCATCAGAGGAACAGGAAAGTCGACGTTTTGTTTCGGGACCCTTCTTCAGAACTGGGGAGGGGGAAGGGAGCTCTGAAATAAATAAGGGGAGGATGGGTGGGGCTGGGGGAAGGTAGGTGGAGTGGTGATAGGTGGATGCAGATCAGGTGTAGTGGAGATTGGCTGGTGGGAACGGTGGGGCAGATAGATGGAAAAGAAGATGGTCAGGTTGTGTCAGGTCAAGGAGGTGAGAGGAAGGAGGGCTGGGGATTTATTGTCACTCTAATCCACGCCTTTCAAGCAAAATACAAAGTGACCAGAGGGAAATGAGACAACTCACTGAAGCACAAGAAAGAAGGTCAGCTCTTCACGAAATATACTAAATTCCTACCTACTCTGTTATTAGGACAAATTGTACCAATCATGTTCCAATCATGAAAAGCAGGAGCCAACAAACATTGTTACTGAAGTTACACTCTAACGGCATGGATAGTTGATGAGAAAATTTTTTAAAAATCCAAATTTGACTTACAGTGGAGAAAAAATTATTAACAGAACATTAGAAACATCACTCTCCAGCAAGACAATGCCAGCAAGGGAAAGCATGACTCATGCAACACCAGGATCCATCCTCCCAACATGGCCTAGGCAGTTTGGCAACATCATGTACCAAATCTGCAGGACAGTGGAACATCTTACCACCTAAGCAATACCATTAATAATATTTTTCAAGAATAATATGCAGTATAAAAAATTTCTAAACCTGGGGCTTATTTTCTTTCCAAAAATAAAAAGAAGCTGATAGATAATCTTTAGTCAAGAAAGGTTAATGGCTCGAAGTCACAGTGATAGGGGTATTATGTTTTAAGGAGCTGTAAAGAGCTGGGGTCTAATTAGCCAGGAATCAATAGGCCTCCTCCAGTGTCACAACAATGCCACCCGGAAACTGGAGGAACAGCACCTCATATTCCGCCTTGGAAGCCTACAACCCAATGGTCTCAATGTAGACTTTACTAGCTTCAAAATCTCCCCACCCCTGACCTCATCCCAAGAACAGACCCCCCTCATCACCGCCTCCTTGACCTGTCCGTCTTCCCTCCACCTATCCGCCCCTCCCTCCTTACTGACTAACCCCCATCCCCACTTCCTACCTACACTCACCTTTACTAGCTTCATCCCCGCCTCCTTGACATGTCCATCTTCTCTCCCACCTATCCGCTCCACTATCCACCTTCTTTCCCTGCCACCCCACGCTCTCTATTTATTTCAGATCCCCCTTCCCCTTCCCCATTTCTGAAGAAGGGTCCAGACCCGAAATGTCAGCTTTCCTGCTCCTCTGATGCTGCCTGGCCTGCTGTGTTCCTCCAGCTCCACACCTTGTTACCCCATCAATTGTATTGTAATTGTTCTAATGCAGGCACATTCATGGCTACAGTGGGGAGTCATCTATTCTGTACCATAACACTGACCAAGGCAATCTCCCAGCAGAGGCAGTGTGGGAAGTTAGAATTAGCTAGGAAAAGATGGTATATATGCTGATGGCAGGGTAAGGGGGAAAAGGAATAAATAGATAAGTGGAGATGGAGACCAAACAGAGACAAAGAAAGTTATGCAGACAAAGGAATGGTTGAAAGCCAGGGGAGAAAAAATAGGCCTATAATGGGGACAATGAGGAGGTGAAAATTGTGTAGCTGTGCTGAAAGCAACAAATGCCATGACAGCAACTTTTGTTTTTGTTGTCAATGCCATGACAGGGCCTGAAGTGTTGAGGGAGAGGGTTACCCCACTATGCAATAGCTATAGTCACCATGCAACAAACATTATACGTTTAAGTTCAGTTCTGAGGAAGGGTCACCGGACCCGAAACATTAACTTTGTTTTCTCCTTCACAGATGCTGCCAGACCTGCTGAGCTTTTCCAGCAACTTTGCTTTTGTTCCTGATTCACAGCATCCGCAGTTCTTTTGGTTTTTATTTAAACATTACGGCCTTGTTCAAGAGGAGTTGTCAAGATAAACCCAGCAATTACAAATCAGTCAGTTTAAGATCAGTAGTGGGAAGCTAGTTGGGGTAGAATTAGTAGTCACATGGATAAAGGTGGGTTGGTTTGGAAAAGTCAGCATAGATTTCCAAAGGGGATATCATGTTTAATTAACTTGTTGGAGATTTCTGAATAGGTAGCAAGCAGGCTCAATGTGGGTATATACTATGGACTTCTAGAAGCTGCTTCATATGGTGCCATTCAACAGACTTGTGAGGAAAGTTATAGGTCATGGAAGAAAAGGGCAACATGGATACAAAATTGGCTGAGTGATAGGAAACAGTGTGTAATGGTCAATGGATAATTGTCAGGTGGGAGGAAAATTTGTGGTGACATTCCCAGGGGTTAGGATTAGGACCCTTGTTTTTCCCGAAATATATTAATGGCCCTCATTTTGGTGGACAGGGGGCAATTTCAAAACTTACAGATGACATAAAATTTTTAAGAATTGTAAACTGTGAGGAAGATAGCATAGAAATCCAAAGTAGT